TTACGGCAGCTAAAAAAAAAGTTGTTCTAAGTAAGTTTATATTAGGGGACGGTATGATTTTTAATAAGTTTACAATAGCCTTYGAAAAAAGTTACAGTTCCAATTATTTTCATGCTGAAAGTTCCAGTTCTCGTTTAAAACACCTTTACTGTGCAGGTAGTATTTATTTTGAAAGCGGGATAAAACCATTCGATTTTGACCAAATCAGCTGCTCGATTTGTGATTGATGGGAAGCACATTTTATCAACGATGATTCCGTTCGTCCTGATTACACTTAGCACAACCAATGCAATATATACGATGGCGTCGCTGTGCCGGATCTCTAATATACGATGGTGTAATCAGGAACATTTAGTTTTCTCGAAGCGTTTTGAAAGGAGGACGAGAAGTTTTTCTTTGACGCAACTCCTCGTCATGACGTCATTGATAGCACACTCTATTTCCGCTGTTATCGCTGACAATGCGCCTCGCGATACAATTGAAAAAAATTCTGCAGTGGCATGGAGGCCGTGGACAGAAAGACAACGGCGAAGAACTTCACTGCTGGTAAATGCTGCTTTCAATAAAGATTTTCAATCCGAAGATTCGAAGAAAGAAAGTAGAAGGAAGCAAAGATGGACATTTGGAAAACAGTATAGCAGCAACAAAGATTGTCCTCATTACTGGAAGGAAATGGGAGACGGAAAAGAAATTCATAATTTCCACAAAGATATGGATATTGGGGTCAAAACAGAAAGCCGTAAGAAGGAACGAATTGGCTTCTGTCATTTTGGAAGAATCGACCATTCTGGTGTTTCCAACGAGAATACAGAGAGAGGAACGCAAGATCAATGCGATACAAGAGGCGACGAGGACGATCAACCCCTTCGAACAAATCTATGGGATATCAACGTGAATTGGTCATTGTTTTCACCAAAATCGAAGAGACTGTCTCGTAGCGGTGCGGGCCAGCGAGGAAGGAGTCTTCAGATGGAACTGCACCCGGAAGGATACTGCCGAATTATTGAAGATGCATCCACCGATTCCGATCGATGCAACAAGAAAGATAACAATTTCCTTGTAGTGGGGATCGGACGATGGAAAAAGCGTCCCTGGGGCGTAACGTTTCTTGTCAGACCTCTGATGCTACCAAAATCATCGATAAATACAGCGCAATCAGATGATGATAGAGGATACGACAACGTGGACACCGCAGAGGAGAGTAAGAACCTTTTGGTCGTTGATGAAGACACCGAATTCATTTTTCATGCAAGAGGTTTTCATTGGAATGGATTTGGGTCGAGCCCAAAGCTAACTCAAGGAACAATTCTGTTTCAGAAACAAACGAAGAAGGACAGATGCTTTTCCTGGTGGAAGTCTTCATCTTTGGCGTATTCGTCTGTTCTTCCCGTGTGGCCCGAAGAGGTAGCCTTAGAAAAAGCTGGTGACTGCAACATCGCAACAAAAACCAAAAGCACTTACGCAAATTTGATGAAGCCTTCATTTTTTTTAAATATCATGAGGGGTGGCAAAAGCAGCGATGTGTACATTAATATTAGACGCAGGTGGTTCCGGCCGGTTGTAGGAACTTTCACGGCAAAAGGAATTGTGGAAAAGTGAGATTGACCTCAAAAGATAGTTGGCTTATGCCAATAGATGGGGCCTTAGTGGGGTGAACCATTCACCACCGTTTGGTATCAATGACGAACGCTCCTCTGATATTAATGGTATTGTCTGGCACAAGATATTTGATTTTTTCTCTACGATTTGCATTATCTTCGCCAGCTATACTGCGTGAAGTGGAACGACTTTTTTGCATTTCACTTTGGTTCTGTGGAATTTAATTCTCGTTTATCTATTGGGATTTATCGTGATTGCTATGTTGAATACTATGAGAGAATTGTTATTTTAGATGTTTTTGTTTAGAAAAGATTTTCTTGTTTCGTCGTTGAAGTACCCTTCTGCTCTACATGACTGAGATCATGGTCCAAAGTTGTCATGGTCCGCATTCTGGCTGCTTCTCTTGACCCCAGTCTTTCGAACATGCTTTCCATTCTCGCCTAGCACAAATGTCATCCCCACTCGTCAATCTGAAATTTGCTTCTTTTCTCTRTCTCTTTTCCGCTTTTCTAACTCTTTTTTATAACGTTCCAGGACGTCTTTTTCTCGGGCTGCCTGTGCTCCATATCCGGAGCCTTTTGGTCTGTTAATATCTTTCAGTTTCGACTTGTTTTTGATGTATTTAGTGTTCCCGTCTTCTATTGTTGGCATGGTATCTGATTCAATACCTAAGGTTTCGTAAAGAAGTTTGACGTATACATCCCCCAATTGATTGAGTGACTCGTACGACACCAGAACCACGCCGTTATCACCTTGGAGAGGAGCCGTGAGAGACAATTTTCGATGCTCGTGACCTCGGTGGTAATCGTTCGTCGCGTTCATTGCTTTCGGAGATATGTCACCAAACAAAGAGTCTAGGGATGATATAGATAGCCTCCTGCTCTTCAGTATGTACTTATTGATTGCGCGGGTAATGATATCGGTTCCAGTTTTTTCCTCTTCTTTCAAAAGTGTTTCGTTCTTGCAGTGTTTCACCCGTGCTCTCTGCGATACTGTGTGGTCACGTACTACTATGATGAATATTTGATCGATTCCACGGGACTTATACCATTCTTTGCTTGAGACTATATCTAAAAGATAGCGAGTAGGGTATATTAGTCTGTTGTAGCCTACCTGAATCCCCGCCTCTCTCGCCATTTTCAAACACTCCAGCTTCAACTCGGTGTAGCTTGATGTACTGTATACTAGAGGTACAGAACACTCTGCTGGCAACACAACATTCTGAATCACTTGGGTCGGAAACTTCTGGCAGCCCGCACCCTGTGGACGGAGAGAAATTGTGGWRAGACGCCAAGATTTGATTTAGATCGAAACGAATCCTGATCGCATCTCATCGCTCATCTCGCGACGCAAAGAATAGCAAAAAGGAAACAACAAAGAGACAACGTTTTCACATCACAATTTCGTACACGTACCCATGGGAGTGAGAAATGCTGAACTTGAATATCACTGGTACGCTCCAAGGCCAACCGGTTGGGCCTTGATCCTTCGATCAATTCCACACCGAGAGCTCTAGCGATCATTCTGGAAACAAATGTTGTCCCAGAAGATTCGAGCCCGATAACGGAAAATATCTTTTTTGGAAACATTGATTTGCCTGGCGGATTTGTGACATTTTCAACAGTTGTTCTTATTTCTGTTGGGTCTATACGAATTATTGTTGAGTCTATTCAAGTTTCAGGGGACAAATGCCGACTGGAGAGCGTAAGACAACATCAGATACGAAAGCAATCTACCTCCTCATTGTTTCGATCCAGAACTTCCTTGTTGTTTCGTACATACCTCCATATGCTTTTGACCTCGGAACCAAAATCCAGCTTCCGACGGCAAGCGCGAGTCCGAGGGTAAGCAGAATAACAATGGTGGACAGATCGCTTCTGGCTGACATTGATGAWTGATGATGATGCTAACCCCAACCCAACGGGTTTGAACAATATCAAACCGAATTATTCTCTTGGGGATCCAGAATTTCTTGGAATTCAGGATTGATACTATTAGACCAGCGTGCCGATTGAGACGCTCAAAGCTCCTACACGGTACATCGGTGTTCCAATGTTTTTAAAGTATGGAAATACTACCTTTTGGTGGGCCTTACTACGCGTTTTGTGATACTGTATCTGTGGAGGAGCTCGCGCAGCGCGTGTAACCGAATTAGGTCTTTTGCGGTGCGCAGCCAGGGGAAGTCGAAAGTTGGGTGTACTGTACGGTACATAACTGTACATTTGTCATTTGTTCAATCTTTCATAGTACTAGCATATCAGGAAACTCTCGTGCCACCAACATCTCATTTCCGTAACTTTATATTTTTACAGAAAAAAATCACGTTCAACCTAGTACATGCTTTACATTAAAAATTTCTTGATACCATGTTTTTACATTTTTCTCCCCCTCAAACTCCCTTATTCCAGAAGGACAATTCCAGTCGAATAACGACTATTTTTGTACTTCTTATTCAATTCGACTTCCATGATTGTAACCAGAATTTTGTACCTTGTCGGGTCCGTGATATTATCACGGTAATCCAATTTTTGCACGGTCGAGCACGTGTCGGAGACCCTAAGTAAATGRAAAAATGAGGTATTTAAATAGGCTCAATGGACAAAAATGAAAGTGGTGCTTTGGTACTCACTTAGATTACTTCGGTACCACCACATGGTACTCCAGTACCATCTCTTACTGTGTAACGCAGGTGATATGGAGGATCCAGGGAGGGATAAGAGCCCATTCCCCTATATCGGAGGAGGCAGTGCTCGTAGTTTGGTTGCTGATACAGATGACGCTGCGCTCGCCAAGGATTTTCTTTTTAGATAGGGACAGCAGCACGTGCCACCAAAATCAGAGGATGGGGTGTTACTTTTAGAAATTTGTACTGTGCGCTTGAGAGCTCAATTCTAGTTACAATTTGGTTGCACCAGTGACATCACTGAGATCGAGAGCTTGCTCAAGATTGAAGTGAAGATACTTGGTTGCGCTGAAGCAGAGCTCTTCCACAGATATTTACTTAACCATTGAAGCAGCTCAACATTTCCATGTAACCACGCACTTGGTTACTGCTTTATGGAGGCTTGATGATACTGAGGATGCTCATACGGAGGATGCTCACTGATATGGAGGACGCTGATACAATATGGAGGACACTGATACAAGTTGTTGCTGATACGATACGGCGTTCTGCTCTGCTGCTGGTGTTTTGCTTTGATACAGAGGATATGAGTTTTGTAACAATTGAAACCAGACTCCGCCAGAAGCAAAAAGTTTTGATTGGAACAAGTTTTAAACTTTGGTTTGAAGCTCAGAACTTTGAATGTCCTAGTAGAAATTCTACTATGTTCTTCTGAGCTAGTTTTTGGAAATAACTTGATGGCAATTCATGATTGCAAGGCCTGATTCATGATTGAATGACCTTGGGAACAACAGCTCAGTAGAACTTGGTACATGATGTACAARCAAAACTTCATAAAAAACTGGTATAGATAGGCTAGTAAAAATGTATATTACCAATATTTTTGATGAAGATGTTACAACTTGAAAGTTCAATAGTTTTACTAGTATTATGCAGAAAAAATGAAGTTTTCAAAAAATCCTGGGGTGACATTTTCCAATTTCAGACACACATTTCATATGAGTTTTTGATACATGACCCCTGGAGGGTAGTACCATCTGGTAGTTTCCTCAAGTAGCAAGATTATTACAGGAAAAATGGAGATGTGCTCGCAAATGCTAACCTTTACTCTTACTGGACAAGTACAAAACAAAATATCAACTAAAATATCAACCATGTACAACACAGTACATAATMTTTTTAGGTGCACCAAGAAGGCRCAACAAGCAAGAAGTGTGGGGCAAGACTGTATCAGAGTGATTGATGAGAAGTACTCACACAATCCCGCACAGGAGAAATTCCATGAAAAAACACAAGTCAAGAGAGTAATTCTTGACAATAACTTCAAATCACCAACAACACTGATACCAACACTCCTGTCAGCTATTAAGATGGTCCTCTTGTTGAGGATAGCAAAATAGCAGAAGCACACCAGTTAACATATACACAATACACTATTTTAATGTTTTTTTTTCAATAAAAAAGAGGAGGGGCAAGTAGTAAGGAAAGAGGATACGCAACAAAGGACACAGCTTGTGAGGTTTTGCATTGTCCTCTTGAATGATTATCTCAAGGGGGGGCTACCATCAGCTCATTTGGGCCATTTCTCATAGATTGCAAGCAATACTTTGTCAAGTAACAYTTGCTTGTACACATCACCATTATCATTTTGTGGCTTTGTCCCCAGCATCCCAGCCTGGCAGTTTACAGGTGTTCTTTTTGCTGGCTGTTCCATAAGAAAGGGCTGGATTCCAACCTTACCATTGGACAAAGTATTTCTTTGTGAATCAAACCTTGGCTGTGTAGTGGCACAAAGAAACATGTKGTTCTTCCACTTTGTTGTAGACTTGGGGTCATCTATTCAAGGAAGCAGATAGTGTGTTTCAAGTTCTTGCTCAGTTTTCTGCCATTTGGAGGAGTACTCCTTCACCTCATCTGTAGCATCRTTGTTGCTGCCACCAACATCCACAATGTCCATACTGCCATTGACCGTATCACCAGCTTTGAGGAGATCAATTACATCACTTATTATCTTGCTGTTTAATGATTTGCTTCAGAAAGAACCAATGGGGAGGAAAGTGGGTTAGAACAAGTAGCAGTGAATYAAGGCACAAAGAGACCACCCATTGCATTTTGGTTTATTGTTGAGGTGCAGCTATGAATAGAACCTCCTTCAACAAAGGAGGCACCAAGTATAAGTCAGGTCAATTGATCCCCCAAGAATGGAGACATCATAGGAGCTGCCAAGAGCAAGGTGAATTGATGGATCCCTTGTGAGTGGAAGCAACCAAGACACAAGAGCTGATAGGTCAATGGTTCTCCTGTCAGTGGAAGTAATGGCCAAGGGACAACAAGAATGGATCGGTCCATGGGTCCCCTATCACTATACTTAGTAACAGAGGCACCAAGCAATGAGCCCTGCAGTAGCTTCTCCCCTATCAGTTTGGTATCACTCATTGTCTGGGTTTAAGACATCACCTCCTGCTCAATCATCAAGCTATTGGCAGGCAGCATGGTGTAATGGAGAGAGTAGCTTGTTGCTGAAAGCCCTAAAGGCTTGTTCCTTGGTCTTGGTCTTGGACTTGGCTGGATCATCCTGGAGTCAGGCATGGGTAATAAGATTGTTCATAAATAGTTCACTCCATGTGACTGTCCAGCAACACTCAAACATCACAGGCCTCTTTGACTCTGTGATTTTCCTGTAGGATAATGGCCACAACAACTAGTGGCTCTTCCAAATTCCACTGTCACAAGCAAACTCCTTGCAATTCATTACAAAATCTGTGAAGGAAAATTTTTCCAATTTTTCCAGTCCTTCTGCAAAGAGCTAAGTGCTATCTACTAGGGCATTACTGGACAATGGGTTTCCATCTGTGTTGTCATAGGGCATCATCCACAATCTTGCACAAGAGGTGAGTGCTAGGGTTCTCATGCATATGGCCAATGTAGATTGAATCCAATTTTGAATCAGCAACAGTGGGCATGTAAGAGGGCAAGACAGCCCCAGCGGCATGAACAGGAAGATCCTGAGTGATGGTGGGATCAGTGTTTGTGCCCACAGTAGCCACAATTGCGTCTGCGTTTGTARCATTAGTGACATCAGCATCCACTTCAGTGCTTGCTTCTGTATTAGCTGTGTGAGTTGCAWTCAAATCCTCCACAGTCCCCCTAGGATTCTCAGGAATGAAAGGTGCTTTGTTTCTGTATTACTGGCATTGATGGAGGCTCTGGCACCTTGTTTGGGCCAACATATTCAGGCATCAATACAAGGGCCCCACCRGGGCCACTCAAAAGGCCCTCAACACAAAGTGGTTCTTTGTCCTAGAATGAGAATTAGTATTAGCATTGATAGGGGGAGCCATAGTATTAAAAATTTTCATGTGATATCAGGAAGTCCTTCTCCTGTAATTTATGCTGTGCAAACAGGAGGATACAAAAATCACTTTATCTTGTTGGCTATCATGTGCAAGTAGCATCACATAAAAATAAYTATTGCACAAAATGATGAGTAGAATTGGTTTTGAAGAGTATCAAAAATTAATTATAATCACATTCTGTATCTAAAGTGGTGTCAACACACCCTTACATCCTGCTCAGTGTTGAGGGAGATGCTGAGTACTTTAGACTGATCCTATTCCCTGTAGATATAGTAGGTATACAATCCACAGGGATTCTTATGATTCTGCTCTAGTGACATCATATGTCATTATTAGTGTTCTCATATCTTTGGTGTCACAAGTGCCCTATAGTAGTATATACTAGTATTCTTGATGCTTGGTGCTTTCTTACTTTATGTAGGTATCAAATATTATAGCATACTCTAGTATACTACAGGGTGTAGATCCTTACCCTGTATGTGTAGGTCCAGTCCTAAAGGCTCATAACTGAGCCCCTGGTACTGTGCTCCTTGCAACCATTGGAAACCTTTAAACCAGTAGTAAAGTCAAAATGACATGGAAAAATTGCCCTGTTTGAAGGCTTAATCCAAGCTTACAATTAGTATGAGTCTAATGGTGAAAACACATAAAAATAAAATTGGATGAGAGAGTACTATGATGCACAAATAACCATTAAAATTGCCCAAATATTAAGCATATTTCAAAATAGAGCTGCTTTGGGGACTCTCAATTTTGGGAATGAGGAAGTACAAATTACTAGGAAGTAGTAACAATTTTTTTATGACTTGTACTCATAGGGCTACAGTGTGCACATACAAGCAAAACTATTTTGGTGGCACRACTGGTGGGAGCACGTGCATCTGTATGAATTTAGTTTTTATAGTCAAAGTAGTCATTACATGCAAAAATAAGGGCCCAAAATCTACAACTGGATTGTAGATTTGCTAGCCAACTGGTGGCCAAATGTATGATCCAGTTTTAGATTTTAGGCCAGTAGTTGTTTGACTAAAAAACTAAAGTCATACAAATGCACGTGTAGTACTAGTGTTGAATTTTTAATTTTTGAATCCTGTAACCAAACACTTTTGCTTACATGTGGTGCTATTGCTGTAGCCCTAGTACAAGACAAATTGTTAATCCCACAAGTCATTTCACAGTAAAAAGATGACCCATTATCTATGCATCATGTAATTTAACTGTACAACTATTTTAGTCTTGAACTGACAGTTTTTGCAGTAGCTTGGTCCCCAACAGATGTTCAACAATGATAGGCACATGAATTGAAAGTTTGTTTAAAGACAAAAATAGTCATCTGGGGGTTACAGGGGATTATTGATCATACAAAGTTATTTGGGTCTGTATATACACAATAGATAATGTACAACTGGATTGTACATTTTACTCCACCAATGATATGACATGTAATTTATACTATGCATGGATTTCAGGCCCTGATTTTGGTAGTATTGACTTGTTGGATTATTCAAGCCACAATTGGTCAATAAGCATCATATGTGGGCAGAAGAATTTGGGTGCACCATGACTCCTGGAATTTTAGTAAGATTTTTGGTGGCATGAGTAGTTGTAAATCTAGACACCCATTTTATGTGATGTTTCAAATCTTTATGAAAATCTGATTTCCTACTAGATGATGTGATTGTGAAATATAATAGCACTATGAATATCATAACAATTGATTGCCCCACTAATCTCCTGTGGTTCCCCTCATTAATTTAACAATGACATCCTTAATTTTTTAGTACAAATTCTACAGAGCTCTACTGAGTGTTGCTTTCCAACAATTTCAGCATTGTTTTCCTTCAAAGAAAGAATTAGAACTGGTTCTGTGCCACCAGAATATTTGAAAACTACCTTTGTGATATTTCTTTGTACTGTGTTCTACTGCACTAATGATGATGGCATCATTAAATTAACAATGGGAACCACATATTAGTGGGGCAATCAATTGTTATGATATTTGTAGTAGTAGTATTACTAGTATTAGTAGTATCAGTATTAACAGGGACATTACAAAACAACTCCTAACCTTGTACTTTAAGCTACTGGACCTATGGCTCAGCTACTGAGACACGTGCCTCCTAATAACAGTGTACTTTAAGCTACTGGACCTACGTCTCAGATACTGGTGAGTCACATGCCTACTGATAAGGGCGAAAAAAAAAACGACTTAAAGCTACTTTTATGCTACTTAAAAGTAGCTATAAAATAGCTTTAAAGCTGCTTTAAAGCTACTTTAAAGTAGCTTATTAAGCTACTTTAAAGCTGCTTAAAAGTAGCTTAAAAGCTGCTTTTAAGTAGCTTTTTGGTAGCCATTAGATTGTTATATATATATAAACATTAATTAATAAGAATAATTGAATATTGAAAATAAACACCAGATCTAAATATATAATCATCATAGGTAGTCCCACAAATGAAAATAATAAAMAGAAAGACAATCGAAGCTCTAAATTATAAGATCTATGCCCTCAATTATCTTTATTCATCAATGCATATATATATATTGGTAATCCAACGGCTACCAAAAAGCTACTTTAAAGCGACTTTTAAGTAGCTTAAAAGCTAAAAAGCTATTTTTATGTAGCTTAAAAGTTACTTTAAAGTAGCTTTTAAGCTACTGAAAAGTAGCTTTTAATCTACTTAAAGAAGTCGATTTTAAGCTACTTAATGCTACCTTACAGCTACTTGAAAGTCACATTCCCGCCCTTAAAGCTACCTTTGAGCTACTTTATTTAGATATACTAGCTAAGAAGTAGGCACGTTGCTGGTCCAGTAGCATAAAGTATCTGGATATGAGCCGTACATGACCCAGTAGCTGAGCCGTACATCCAGTAGCTTAAAGTATCTGGTTATGAGTCGTTTCGTAACGTCCCAGTATTAGTACTAGTTTTAGTATTTTCAACAAAAGTGTTACTACTACTACTTGAAAGTTAAATGGTCTAACACCACCAGTACAGCAAGAAGAAGAAGTGTTTACTACTATGCATGCAGTACTAAAATGAAAATGAAAGATGCTTCTTTGGTGGGATTTTTCTTATTTTTCAACAGGTGCTGAGGAAGATACTGGTGTGGATAACAAATACTAGTAGTATGTACCACTAGTGATGTTGGTATCATGAGTTTTGCAAAAAAATAATAATAAGAACAACAAGCTGCTGCTGGTGCAAAGACAGATCTACTAAATTTATGACCCCTGCTGGGTGCTACTA